ATATTTACAAATTTACAACAATAACTGTCCGCAGCTACTAAAATTATAAATTGATTTAATTCGTACATATATTTGTTTATTTGCTCCCTTGCTATCCCTCAGGATAGAGCTGCAGTTACATATGTACATACATACATAATCGTCTGCAAGTCGACGCTCCAATATTTGGCAATTTTTTCCGCCTCTCCTTATCTCCGCTATTTTGCACTTGCATACGACAAGTGCACAAATAGACATACACACGTATTGGTTCCAAAATACAGCACCGGTCAATCACATAAGTCCAGATCAATAAAATAATTTGTAAATTACACAGGAACACAAAATTAAACTTTGTGAAATTTCCACGAACCATTTCAAGTTTTCCATGATATCTGGGTGCTCCTGAGTAAAAGTCCCATACAAAATTATTTTCCATCACCTACAGGTTTCGCGGTATACCTAAGAATACAAAAAACCTATGTTTGCCGACATTTTTGAATAACGTGGCCTATATAATTGGACTTACCTTTATTATTTTTGGTAGGACCTACTCTCAATACATCACGGCACTACTAAAAAATAGTCCCAATCGTGGACCATTGCCCATGTCTTTGGAATTCGACGCCAAAGTTGAAACTCCCAAAATTTTCAACATTTCTGTTATGAAAAAACAATTCTGAGAATTAAATCTTCCATGGGACTAATTTTAAATTTTCATTGAATCTATTGCTCATTGTATTCTTTAATTTCGGTTTAAAGCGTTTTCATGAGGACATTTTATTGGATTTATTAAACGAATAAAACCGATTTTTTGGTTTTATTATCTACTACTATTTTCTGTCAAATTTCAAATAAGTCAAGGCAACCTATAAAATAGTAGTAGATTAGTTTCTTTTTATATATAATATACATTTTTTCTTTTTGACTAAACTTAAATATGTAAGGATTATCGCTGGGTACTAAGCTGTCTTAAAAATGTTATGTTCGGAAGACCTTTTTATTTAATATACAACTAAATGTATATTATATATAAAAAGAAACAAATCTACTACTATTTTATAGGTTGCCTTGACTTATTTGAAATTTGACAGAAAATAGTAGTAGATAATAAAACCAAAAAATCGGTTTTATTCGTTTAATAAATCCAATAAAATGTCCTCATGAAAACGCTTTAAACCGAAATTAAAGAATACAATGAGCAATAGATTCAATGAAAATTTAAAATTAGTCCCATGGAAGATTTAATTCTCAGAATTGTTTTTTCATAACAGAAATGTTGAAAATTTTGGGAGTTTCAACTTTGGCGTCGAATTCCAAAGACATGGACAATGGTCCACGATTGGGACTATTTTTTAGTAGTGCCGTGATGTATTGAGAGTAGGTCCTACCAAAAATAATAAAGGTAAGTCCAATTATATAGGCCACGTTATTCAAAATGTCGGCAAACATAGGTTTTTTGTATTCTTAGGTATACCGCGAAACCTGTAGGTGATGGAAAACAATTTTGTATGGGACTTTTACTCAGGAGCACCCAAATATCATGGAAAACTTGAAATGGTTCGTGGAAATTTTTGGCTGTGTACCTGTGTTATTTTATATTAAAATTCCAACTAACGAATTAAGTTAGAAATCCAAGTGCGCTTCCGTATCCGCACTAGTGTGACCGTATATTATTCGCTGCTGACCGGAATTATTAAATTAAATTGCATATTTCCGTTTTAAATTCCAAGGGAGAAAATACAATTTTCCCCAAATATAATTATTATAGCAAAAATAATTATTACGAGTCCGATTGGTTCCTAAATTCCCAATCAAACTTCGACCCATACATTTTAATATATATTTACATTACATTTTTGTAAAAAAAATATCCAAAATGACTTCAACTATTTTGAACAAATTTACTTTGATTTCTGACCGTCTGAGGCACTTCGACTCTAGAGTCTGCAATCCAGCAGCACCCACTCCATCCAAATACACCTGCCAAATTCATCTCGACCAAGTCCGAGCGCTATGGGATAAGGTCGAGACAGAGTACGAAGCTTGTTCAGAGCTAATTTCAGTTGGCTTCGAGGGCGCTGCAGACACCTTGCCTACCCTTAAGGCAAAATACGACGACACCTATTCCATTTATGAACGGTGTGCCGCCAAGTTCATGGAACAGATCGATACGATCTCTGCTAAAGCAGCTCCAGTCCAACCTCCTGCGCCCCAAAATTCCTTTCCGTCTGGCTGTCGGCTTCCTCCGTGCGAAACGGAAGCTTTCTCAGGCGATTATCTTCGCTGGCCGACTTTCCGGGATCTTTTCACAGCGGTCTATATCGACAATCCTACGCTGACCCCTGTAGAAAAGTTGTTCTATTTAAATGCCAAGACGAGTGGTGAAGCTCATTCCATAGTTTCAAATTCGCCACTGACCAACGACGGTTTCCGCTCAGCATGGAAAAACCTATCTGAGCGTTTCGAAAATAAACGCGCGTTGGTAAACAGCCAACTGAAGAAATTGTTGAACATTCAGTCCATTGAACGTGAGTCCTCGGCAGCCTTGAAGGAGCTGCAGAATACAATTCAAAATTGCCTCACATCCCTAGCTCTGTCCGGCCTTCCTACGGATAATTGGGACTGCCTCCTGGTTTATTTGTGCTCCACGAAGTTTCCAAAGCTGATGCTTTCCTTATGGGAGCAATCCTTAACAAATAAAACCGATATTCCGTCGTGGCTAGAACTCGATTCTTTCCTTACTGAGCGCCATAGAACTCTGGAAACCATCGATTCTCTCCAGCCTCCTACGACATGCCTCCGTTCGTCTAAACCGACAATCTCCAACCAGTCGCCACGAGTACTACAATCCTTTAGTACGCGGGTTGTTCACTTATCCAAAAGATGCGATTTGTGTTCTGCAGAGAACCATCCAGTGCGTAAATGTCCACGCTTCCTCCAAATGACGATAGAAGATCGTACTTCATACATTAAGAAAAAGCAGTTGTGCTTAAATTGGTTTTGCAAGCGGTCATCCACTCCGTAATAGCGCCCACAGCTGTCTTACTTGTCACGGTCGGCATCACACATTGTTGCATCCAAGCAACACTTCATCCAGTGTTCCGAATCCTCGTGATGACGCACCACAAATTCCTGCACCCATCCAAAGAATTTCCTCGTTCTCCACACGAGTGACCACTTCTGCCGATTCCAATTACTGGGTTCCGTACGACGACAGCAAGAGCAGACGTTCCCGAGGTATTTTATCCTACCAATGCCGAGTCTGCCAAGGGAACCATCCTCTTCGGAAGTGCCACCGTTTTCTCCGGCTTGATGCGAAGAAACGGCTCCAGACAGTCATCGACAGGAAGTACTGCGTCAACTGCCTGGCCCACCACCATTCCGGAGGATCCTGTCGAAGTAGCGACCGATGCCAGTCGTGTGGACAGGATCACCACACTGCCGACGAACGCTCAGCGTTATCCTACGCTTTCCAGAGCTAATACTTCCTGGTACTTTTGCTGCGTATCCTCGCAAGGGGGGGGGGAGAATGTTCACGCCAGAAAGGCGCTCAATTTCGGGAGGCAGTGTGATCCCGAACGCTCTCCTTTTCTCTCCCTCTTCCTCCAAACTTCCAGTCCTAGAGCTTCCAATCCGCTCTCCCTAGCATTAGTTTCCTTTGTATATTTAGTACCAATTTACCTTCTACAATAAAGACATCGACGCACGTCGCGCAAAACCCCGAAAAGTTCTACGTGTTTTTCTTATCGAGTGCATTTCAGCTTAAAGCCGCCCCCCTCCAACAAAGACGAACGAATGATTTACGAACTAATGAGTGACTTTTCCGCTGCCTTTGTCGTCCTTGTGCTCGTACTATATCAATGTTTTGATCTCGAGCCGCCTTGATTCTCGTAATATTCTGCTGCAGACGTTCGCTACGCTGTCTCTGGGATTCTTGTGCACGACCTTCTGTTGTCTTAATTCTTTGAGCTCTATTTCTTGTATTGACTTGTTCTGGCAACTGATGAGCTCTTTTGAAACGTCTGCGTCGTGGCACTCTGCTGCTTACGTTGTTGAGATTCGATCTTTTCGGTGGCATTTTGCAGAAAATAATATCTTACCTTCTTAATGTATTTAAAATGAGAATTTAGAGACTCACCACTTATAAACACAAAACAATAATTATAAATGACAAATTAGAATAATAGAAAAGACAATCTGACGAAATGCGATTTATTGAAATAATTTATTACAAAATATGTTATACGTGAAGAACCGCTCGACCAATTTTGTGCAAACTCATCAACAAAATAGCCCGAGCAAAGCATAAAGATTTGGTTAAATAAGCACACTAAATTTCATGAGAATCGGTAAAGCCGTTTCGAAGGAGTGCATAAAAAAAGAAGATTCCTCCTTGTTCTGCCGAAACTGTCATAATGAAAAAGATCTAAGCTATCCTATCTCTCAAGTTGAACCAAACTGCATATTGCCTGCAAATTTGAACGAAATCTGTTAAGCGGTTTAGGAGTCTATAGCGACCAAACAAAGTGACAGGCGATTTTTATATATTAAGATATACACATTTATACACTGAATTAAAAATTATATTAAAAAGTTTTTACATATTAAAATGATGGTGGATGTGGTCAATGGGGAACTTCCTAAACCGTAAGTATTTATAAAAGTAATACAATACACACAACTTTGAGAATCGTAACCTTTGAAAATTCTAGGAACTGGGGAAAATTCCGAGTTACGGCAACCAAAAGGAAGCACGAGATTTCGATTGTAAAATAGAATCTCAAATAGTTTGTGATGCCGTCAGGAATAAAGCATTTATTTGGTATGCTATAAAAACAAACAAAATCATTTTATTTAAAATAATTTAAAATATCCTGAAGCAAAAAAAATATCGTCGATACACCGATGTTTTACTATAAAACATCAAAAAACATAGATTTTCGCGAATCTCTAATCCAGGGGGTATATAAGGGAACACTTAAATTTAAAAATACTATTTTTATATTAAACATCTTAAATACATTTTAAATTTAATTTTTATTGAGATTAGAGTGACACATTTACAATTGTTTCTTATTTGTATTGTACATATGGAATTCATAATAATGTTTAATATAATTTAACAATAATTTAACATTTCTTTTATGGTCATTAAAAACTATTCATAAGTCTACATATGGAGAGAACACTACTATGACTTATTACTTATTTGTTATAATATTAATAAATATTTTATTTAAGTACGTATTATTCGTATTCCAGGGTGGGTTTCGGATCATCAGTTTTAAGCACAAGGCTCAGAGATAATAGTACTCTTTGTATGTATGGTATATAGTATTGAGTAATTAAATATTTTCTCTGCCCGGAGACTAAATGCTATTGAGTCGGAAATCGGGATGGCAGAAAATATTGATACCTGAAACAACATGAGTCAAATCTGTTTGTATGTGTATGCATATGTTAATTTGACAACGAATTCTCAAATACGCTACGTTACGGAACTTCATTTTCGTCATTTCGAATTATCTATTTTTTTTGGGATTCAATAACGTTTATTATCCGGGATTTATCTTTTAGTTTTCGGTTTGAAATTACTAATTTTTTTGGGGATTCTGTTTTTCTTTTAGTTTAAAAATTATAGGGTTTACTTCTGTTATTTAAAAGCACACATAGTCGTTTGTTTTTGTTACTTTTGCGAGACTATTTCGAGTTTGGGTGAAGGCCTTACTGACTTGGACGCCTCCAAACCTGCTCGTCGCGCCGCTGCAGCCATATATGTACCGTAATATCGACTTAGTATATGAGGATCGACCTGGTTAAGTTCTATGTATGCGGCGGGGTTTGGTATAGGAAGTACGGGGTCTATGACAGGACATTCCTCCAAAGAACTTGACTCCTCATGCTGGCTACTACTGCTGTCGCCCAACGATCTGGCTGAATAGTTGTGTTCAGGATCTTGATCGGGATCATCACTGAGGTATGAGATGTTATCGGAAAACGTTTCCTTCATGGTTGCTTCTCTTTTTGTTTTTTTCTGTTCTGAATAGGGCTCCTGGTCCAAATCGGGATCGTGATCGATTCCCTCATCTACCACTTCGACATCCACATCGGGATCGGTGGTGTCGGTGTTAACAGTTTGCTGTTCTAATCCCACAACAACTTCACGATGTATCGTCTGTTTTGTGATCACTGTATGATGATGCTCCGACTCCTCCAACTGTTCCTGATCTTCAGAAGAAACAATATCGGGGGCTAATAGAGAGGCCACATCGAACTGACGCTTTCGGGTTTGGGAAAACATATTGGCTATTGTCGTTGTCGTTGTGGAGTTGATGAATGCAATATGCTGATGCTGGGGAGTCAAAGGAATTGCGGGTTCTTGTAGGTTGAGAAACGACTGCTGTCGTAGCGAGGGATCCGAATGATATGCTGGCGCACAACTTGGAACCACGGTCGAATTTCGATTAAAAAACTGTCCTATATACTGCTGATGATGATGGTATGGAGGATAACCCAGTCCTAAGGAGGAGCTTCCAGAGACTGGCGGCGGTGTGGTTAGATCTAACGGCGGTGGACTTGGTGATCCCGTGCTAGCATCATCCACCGATAAGCCCATATGCTTTCTCACCTTTCGCTGGGCCTTGCGACGCCGGAAATCACCCTTCCGGAAATCATCCATATTAGCGGGATGTATGGCCCAATAATGTCCCTTCCCATTGGCACTCCTCCCAGATTTTATAAAGCAATCATTAAGTGAGAGATTATGGCGAATGGAATTACGCCAGCCAGGTCCACGACTTCGAAAATATGGATAATTGTCCAGAATATATTGATAAATATCGGACAAGACCAGTTTAATGTCGGTTGAACTCAAAATAGCCATGGCTATCAGTCCTATATAACTATGCTGGGGCTTGGGCTCTTCCGGTTGAAAAATACGATGTTGAGTTTGTGGAAAAAGCGAGAAAGTTGTCGATAATGCTGACATTCTATTAATTGCTGGATTATTAACAGAACTTGAACCAGATCCAGCGTTGGAGCTCTGTCCGTAGGGGGTAAGCTGTACCCATGAAGCACTCACACCATTAGTCCCTCCGGTCACGTACTGGGGACACCTAAAGCGTTCGATATTCAAGGCATAGTTATAGAGCTGCAGTCTGTATTGCTCCAAGGCCATTGTAGTTGCGCTTCTCGGGTGTATGTGTATTCCATGTGGCGGATATATACTGGACAGTACCTGCTTTGGTCCACTCTCTGATGTTGTTCCAAGATCTTGATCGGATACCGTGCTCGAAGTCTGCGCCGCAATTATATCTGTGTGAGCCATTTCGATGAGTCATTCAAAACATATAAATATAGCGTCTCCCTTCATTTCCAGTAAGCCGTTGTAAAAGAATATACCCTGTTAAAAGAGATACATTTCTTAATAGTTTGCATAAACAAGTGAACAAACAAATAATATAAAATATAATTCACACATCATTTTATAATAATAATTTCAAGGTGCCGGTATGTCTTCCCGAATTAAATCGCGGCTAAGCATGATATTTATAGTTTATATGTATATCGATATATATATAAATTTAATCGTTTTTAATTTTATTTTATACATTTCTTATTTATATTCTACTGGATATTTTAACATGTTATTTTAAAATAAAATATCTATATCTCAGGGTTAAAATCCTTCTTCGATTTCTGATGATCCTATTGCAAACTGCAAAGATAGTATAAAACTTTGGCACGCCGAACTTAGTTTTTATACGTGGTCAAATTTAGAAACAAACTTGGTCCGCGTGCAACAGATTTTAATGTTGTCATCAAATTCATCTAGCTCTTATGGTCCGGACACGGCTAAATCTACTCGACTAGTGATGCTTATTAAGATGTATACATTTTATGGAGAGGCAGAGAGGGTCCTTCTGCAGTTACATTGTCCATACATATGTATATATCAGTGGGCACAAATGTGTCCGCTGCGGGGCTCGTTCCTACGGTCTTGTTTTGTTTCTTAAATAGCAACATTATTTTGCAATGTTTTAGGATCGTATTTTAAATTCTAACCATTTTGCAATACCATTCATGCTTCCATGTTTATCATGTATATCATAACGTATATTTAGGACAAATTCACTTCGGAATCTTTGGTTTCATGATTCAAGAAGGCGGCTGTAGCGTAGCCAGGTTTTAAGCACATTTTGGTTAACGATTGCAAGATAGGGATAAGAGGATTGTCACCAAATTGGGTATATGTTTGCTCTTTAAGTCTCAAGGAGCAGACAGAGGGACCTGTCTGAATCAACTGAGCTGTTGGTGCTTAAGTTAAGGAAATGCAAGACAATGTTGGCACTTAGTTGTATGGGTATCTTACAGTCGAAGTTCATTCCTTTTATATTTTTTTTCTGTCTGCCATGCCACGCCTAAAGCCGAACCTTCCAATCACATCACACTGCTGCTCTACAAAATCCAAGTATGTGTATTTATAACCACTTGAAGTCTTAAGAGTGTTTTTATTATATCAGAAAGGGAATGGGAAAAAGAGCAGCCATCACCACTTCAGGAGTGGTGGCGTCAAGAGAAATAAGTGCTCATTAACATAAATATCGAATATGCCGAAAACGTACGCTAGCACTGGACCCCCCACAGCAAGTTATGTATGTATGTGCTTTAATGGCAGAGAAAAGAGATGATACAATTGAAATCAAATAAACAATTAAGAAAATCCATTTTACAAATAAAGCCTGGTACTAATAACATAAATTTGCTTCCAAAAAGTCCCTCCCATGCCTTTGTGGGTTAAATTCAATATCCCGGGCCTCACCCTAACTGCGAAAGCAAAAAGTCCAAAAGTTAATTTTTTTATCAAGATTACTGCAATTAATTAACGACTACTAAATCCCAAAAGTAAATGATGTCAAATTCATCTTTTATACGCAAACTATAAAAAACACATATGATTAGCACTATAATTGGTGCTAAGATCGATTTTGGGCAATTCTTCGTTTTCAAGACAATTAGAAAAATGCAAATGCAAATGTAACGTAAAACAAGAAAGGAAGCTTCGGCACACCGAAGTTTGTATGCCCTTGCAGATATTATTTCATTACATTTTACCTATACTTATTATATGTACAGTTTGACAGTTACAGTTTTGCATTCCCAGCTTTACATTTTCTCTACATCTACCGATCGTTTATATTGCAGCTATATGATATAGTTGTCTGATTTTTATGAAATTTATACCATAATTCTAGAATAATAAGATAAGCTTATATCCCGGAGTAGATGAAAAAACGTTGAAAAACAACGAAGTTATAGTTTTTTCCTATTAATTTCCCGATCGTTCCTATGGCAGCTATAAGATATAGTCGTCCGATTTTCATGAAATTTTTATCGAAATTCTGAAATAATATAAAATGGTCATATCTAAAAAATTGTGCAAAAATGTTGAAAAACAGCCAAGTTATCATTTTTTTTTTCTAAAAATTTATCGAACATTTGTATGGCAGCTATATGATATAGTCGTCCGATCCGGCCCGTTCCGACATATATAGCAGTGAGAGTATATAGAAGACTATATGCAATGTTTCATTCAGATAGCTTTAAAACTGAGGGACTAGTTTGCGAAGAAACAGACAGACGGAAAGACGGACGGACGGACGGACGGACAGACGGACGGACGGACAGACCGACATGGCTAGATCGACTCGGCTGTTGATGCTGATCAAGAATATATATACTTTATAGGGTCGGAAACGTCTCCTTCACTGCGTTGCAAACTTCTGACTGAAATTATAATACCCTGCAAGGGTAAAACAACAATAATCAGGCCTGCTCCGGTAATCGAAAACGGCAAGATTTTTTCGTTTTCGTTTTTGAAAACGAGAAATTGGTGCTCCGGTAATCGAAAACGAAAGATTTTTTTCGATTTGAAAAACGGGCACCTTTTTCTGGCCGGAATAAAAAGTAAATGGCTTTTTTTATATGAAATCAGATCTTATTTACAAAAGGAAAAAAATAGTTTACTCAGTGGTCTATTGATGTTTATTCCACACCACCACAAGATCATTCTGGCACGTAGTTATTTTTTAAAAAATTTATTTCTGACCCCACCGCAGATTTGACAACAAAAATTTTGCCGTGTTCAACCAGTTTTCTCGTTTTGGCGATAGGTCGATAGGTTAACCGCAAAAAGTTATCGCCAAGGTTGCCATATTGTTGGTGGAACGAAACAGCTAGTTAAAAATACTTATAAAATATAAATGAATACATTAATAACTTTAAAGGACCGCCAAAATGGTTGTTTATAAATAATGCTATTTAATGTGATTACTTAAATGGTCCAAATTAACCAAATATTTATTTGAGACCACCGGAATTAAAACTGTGGCAGCATCTTAGGTGCCTATATTTGCTTAATTTTTTGCCTTTTTCTGGCTTATAAAAAGGGCAATTGTAAATATAATAGGCAGTACTTTACGTTGTTTGCTTATTACCAAAAACACAAGCTAGCTGCTTGAGCAGTGAGAAACGATGAGAAAACGAAACATTCCGATAGCAGAAATTTTCCGAAAACCGGAGCAGCTAAAAACGAAAACGGTTCGTTTTCGCCCAAAACGAAATCGAAAAAATTTTACGATTACCGGAGCAGGCCTGAATATTAATTTATTTACATATGTCGTTAAACTGATGAGATTAATTTACGGAGCTAAAAGCTTAGTTTAGAATTAAAAGATCAAAACAAAAGTGAGACATAATCACTATCTAGTTATCTTCTGGAAACAGTTGAACAATGCTGAAGCCAGAATTGTGTGATTGCTAAAAATTGTTCACAGTTTAGGTACAATGGCAAAGAAATATTAGATTATTATAAGATTGGAAAAACTTTCTGTGAAATTGCCAAGGAATTAAATGTGTCTAAGTCGTCCGTTCAAGGAATTATAAAGAAGTTGAAGACAAATAAATGGCAATATTGAAAAAAAAAATATCGCGAGGCCGATAATCGGCGATAGCAAAAGAATTCAAAAAAGATATTCTGGTAAAAATAATTTCTATGTGTAATATACCTTATTATTGACTATATCGTTTGCTAAACATTATAACAGAGTAAAAAGCTTGTCGTACGAATTAATAGTGGTCGGGGCTCGTAGTAGTTCAAATTCAATTAAATTTCTATTATATCAAATCAAACCAAATACATTATTAATATCCATTTATGTATAATATGTTACAAGTAATGGCATTATAATTATACCCTTGCAGGGTATTATAATTTCAGTCAGAAGTTTGCAACGCAGTGAAGGAGACGTTTCCGACCCTATAAAGTATATATATTCTTGATCAGCATCAACAGCCGAGTCGATCTAGCCATGTCCGTCTGTCCGTCCGTCCGTCCGTCTGTCTGTTTCTACGCAAACTAGTCCCTCAATTTTAAAGCTATCTGAACAAAACTTTGCATATAGTCTTCTATATGCTCTCACTGCTATATATGTCGGAACGGGCCGGATCGGACGACTATATCATATAGCTGCCATACAAATGTGCGATATATTTTTCGAAAAAAAATTATTACTTTGCTATTTTTCAATATTTTTGCACCATTTTTTAGATGTGGCCTTTATATATTATTTCTGAATTTTGGTCAAAATTTTATGAAAATCGGACGACTATATGATATAGCTGCCATAGGAACGATCGGGAAATTAATAGAAAAAAAATTATAGCTTCGTTGTTTTTCAACGAATGTTTATCTACTCTGAGATATAAGCTTTTTTTTATTATTCTAGAATTTTGGTATAAATTTTATAAAAATCGGACAACTATATCATATAGCTGCCATAGAAGCGATCGGTAAATGTATAAAATATATAAAGCTGGGAATGTAAAACTGTAACTGTCAAACTGTAAACATAATAAGTATAGGTAAAATGTAATGAAACACTGTTTTGTGAGTCTTTTCAGCATTTAAATCTATAATATAAACATCGAAACCAATCTGCAAGGGTATACAAACTTCGGCGTGCCGAAGTTAGCTTCCTTTCTGGTTTTTATTAATTTAACTAGAATTGCTGGATTCTTAATGATCCAATGGTAAACCGCAAGGGTATACAAACTTCGGCGTGTTGAAGTTAGCTTCCTTTCTTGTTTTTAATCACATATCTCATGTCAGGCTTTAATTTTACCGAACTTAATCTTCTTTAAATTATCCTATTACAAACTGTATGTGTATACAAACACTTCTTCAAAGTTTTTTATTTTTGTTAATAATGAATATTATTTATTTATTTAAATCTTATTTATATTTCAATTTAAAAACTCTCATTTGAACAGAATTAAATAATGAATAAAAAAGAAAAACATTATAATATGAAGGTTTTATAAATAAAAATTTTTTAATTATAATAGTTTGTGGCTTAAACTTACTTTTTTTATATACGCTATACCGGATATAGAATATATCAAAAAGTTGTATAATTTGTTAATCACTGTCACTGATAATATGTATAGAACTTGATCCTTCTTATTATGAAGTTTTTATTTAATATTCACGAATTTTTTTTAGTTCTTACCATTTCAAAATTGTGTTCTTCATATTTATTGATTTTTATACTGATATATATATATTTCCGTTTATAATCCAAAGTTTAGGGTTTTAACGGATATATGAACATGACACAAAGAACGCGATGCGTCTACGCGTTGCGATGCTCGAACAATTTCTGTGTTTTTCTGTCCGAAAATGGCAGATTGATGAAGACTTGTGGGGGACGCAAAGGGTGCACAGTCTGTTTCTCTACAAGCCACGCCCATTCCTCTGGAATTCAACGTATTCCATTGGTCACAGCAAATTTCCGAGCTCACAAAGCGGAGGGTGGCATAACTGTAATTGGCCTATGCCATTGCCTGCTTCCATGCGGACTATATAGCCATTCCTCTTTCACCCTTTGTTGTCCATAAGGAACACGTATTTCAGAGGTTCAAACTATATTACCTATCGTATTCTAGCACTCGCATTTTTCTTTTCACGAAGGAAAAATACCATTAACTGGTAGCCGAGAGTGCGGTGCATACACAAACCTTCATACAAACATTATTATTATTCGAAGTTTCTGTAGTAATAAAGGTGCAAATATTATCTGTTTGTTTTAAAAGAAATCAATACAATTTCATTGAGATAACATTTACAAGACATGGTTTTATAATGTTTTTATTAAAATGCAAACCTGTTCTTGAAAGCAAATAAATTAAGGTTAAAACAAATGTGAACCTTCGAAGTCGTACAATTGATTATTTAATAAAAAAGACAGATTTTCTATATATAGTATATACATTCATATTTATGTAAATTCTTTAGTCGGGTCTCAAAGTCTCAAAACATAGTTTCTAAGGTACGCGATTAAATAAATTAAAATGTTGTTTTCATTTCTAAGTTTTGGAACATTATTTCAATCCTTATTAAGAATAGCGCTCAAACTCATTCGTCCTTGTACGTTAGTGTACAGGATATTTCACAGTCGATTTATTAATATTATTTAATTGTTGCTAATTCTTCATATTATTTTATTATTTCTGAAGAGACCCACGCATTTCGAGTCCACGATAAACCTAACAATAATAACACAGGTCGACGAAATTAAACTTTTTCGTTGCATCTTGGTCTGTACATTGCTTGTTCGAAAACGTAAAGTTCCCATCATGTACCAATTTTGAGAAAATCGCGGTCAAAGTATCATAAACGGCTTGTTTTGGCGAGTTCCAAAGCCCAATAATAAGAAAATCGTGCGTATACCAGATCCAATCAATATTTGCCTTTCAATTTGCCGACCAAGTTATTTCTAAACCAGTCGCCTTTAGTGTCCGTGTTTTTTGTGTCGATTATATAATTAAATATATTATTTAAGTTTTAATTTAAATATATTTATACCCTCTTGTAGAGTAATAGTATATATTATTATTTTTTCAAGTTCACGGTTGCTGTTTAACATTTACAGCTTTTTATTTTTGTTTACATCTGTCGATCGTTCCTATGCTAACTATATAATATAGTGATCCGACCCTATAAAATATATATATATTCTTGATCGGCATCAGCAGCAGAGTCGATCTAGCCATGTCCCTCTGTCCGTCTTCTGTCTTCTGTCTTCTGACAACTACTGGTACGAACGACTGAACCAGCTATGAAACAGGAACGATCAGAAAAAATTAGAACTTCAATGTTTTTCAACATATTTTCATCTACTTTGGATCAGCCATTTTCTCGTATTCTAGAATTTTTGTTTTAATTTTTTTGAAAATCGGACGAGTATATATAGATTGCTACCATAGGAACGATCAGCACATGTAGATAATATTCTAAATCTATGAACTAATTGTAAAACTGTAAATACCATATGTAATAGGTTAATTAATAAAAGCTTTCATTAGTTTGAGTATTTTTCCTTTGTTCAAACTTGACAAACTCCGAGACATCTTGAAAAATATTCAGATAAATTCAAGAGACTATATTTCTTGGAGAACAACAATAACTTGTGCAAATTGTATTGAAATCGTATTAGCAACTCAAAAGTACCTAAAAACTGTGTCTTCTACACTTTTAAGTTCAAATATTTTGAAAACCTGTCTTACATAAAATTTTCTGAGATCGGATTTAAGTTCAGCGTAAAACTACCGGAAAATTATATTCCGGTTATTGGTTTTAAAAAGCTGTCAACCTTTGTTACATAACATAACTTAAAGAGTACTGAAATGTAACCCTACTTTCCTTCGATAGAAATGTATTTAATCTTCGATTTAAATGGAATTATTCCGGCAACCGATTTTGAAAATAATTACAGACTTAACAGTTTTTATAGTAAACTTATTTGCTAATAATCCTTTGTAATGAAGAATAGTAAATCAGTGAAGACTTTCAATAAATGTACATACATAGGTGTCAAAAACAAACACACCGAGCTGGTACTTAGAATGAGAATGCAGTGTTGGCACGGACAATAGAAGATTATTTTTGACCCTTAATCCTAATCGCATTGCTGACAATAATCTACCAAAGTGGTTTATTTGTTTATTTTGCTTCGTTTTCCATCCAGGCATGTATGAAAATCTCAAAAAGGTGATCACCGGTTTATTTTAAGTCCTCTTTCAGCCTAACATGAAAATTATCAAATTTCCGAGAACATCTAATAATAAAATCAAGGAGTGCTAACAATAATGTATACCATATTTTAACTGGAATATATATGTTTTTACAGCCGTCCGTCCGTATAAAAAAGAGATCTCGAAAAATGTTTGATTTAAAGCTGACTAATTATATCTTGTGAACGCAGATAAAGTTTATCGTAAAACTGGGCACCAGCACTGTCAAAAATTAAAAAAAAGAAGATTGTAAACATTAAAGCATGCTCATGATGACAACAATACTGTTGGGATTTTACGGCAGGCTCTAAAACGCTGTAAAGGAATGCCACTAATAACATAGTTGACCTTTGCTTTTATTTCACATTATTATAATTTTACTGATAATTGGGCGTTTTTTTAATCCGGAGTCCACAATATCACTGGAAGACTGCGATTCTTGCTCCAATTGCCATACTAAAAAATGCTTAACTCTAGCACATTTAAATTGGAGAAAAAAATTTGTCAGAAGGGGTTCAATTAAGTACATTAGGGTATTCAAGGGATACTCGAACTGAAATGTTTCAGCCCTTGACTTTATCACGCTGAGAATTATTGGAACAGAACCAACAAGTAAACCGAAACGAACAATTGATTGCCATTGGCTCTACTTTCTTTTGGTATGACTCCTCAAATTCCCAAATGCGGTTCGATTATCACCTAAACTCCATCTCCATCTTATTGTATACATTCGGAGGTGTGAACAAAAATTTGAGAAAATGCTTATAGATACGAATCTACTTCTACTTAAAAAATACATATAACAAAACGTTTTATTTTAACAGCTCTAAGGGCGTTTTGTTTCATTCGCCCAGTTTTTTGTGAAAAAAAATTAATTCAAAAGGTAACTAAAATGTAAAAACTATATAAAGAACCATTTGGTATTAAATTTGATTAATGGATATATTATATTTATTAAGTTAAATTCTATACAATTGTGCATCTTTATTTTACAAAATTTTTAGAAAAAATAGTGTATATATAGAGACAATATCTAATGGCCAATAACTATAAAAAAAAGGGTTCTGAATTTAAAAGGTTAAGACCAAGTAGCAACATGGGATGTGTAAGGGATTAGGGAGATTTACCACGAAAGCCGTTACATAAAATGGTTCCTTAACGTTGTAATATATATCCGATAATATATTGTTTGACACAGCGAATTAACGTTATCGGAAAAAAATACAAAAAATTAATACAAGTATTATTATAATTGTCGTAATTATACCCTGCAAGGGTATAAAAATATATAATGCATTCGTTGAAGGATAGACGTCAAAATTGGAAGTCAAAGTGTCGAGTTTTTACTGAAAAATTATTTTATTTATTAAAAAATATTTTGTTAAATAGAAAAAATGCCAAAAACAAAACCAACTTGAGTACCTGTAGATGTAGTTAAAGAAGTTATGTGCATGTACATACATATATATGCATGTTTCCGAAAGAAGCTTAACAAGTTTCAATGGCTTCTTAATTCCCCAATGGGATTTATTTGCCTGTAAATGGATTAATACCCTCAAAAGAGAACAGCTTACGCGGTAACCTGGGCCATGGCTTGGCTATAATTGTTTATTTCTAGACATCAGGACACACGACACCATTATACCAGCAACAACCTAGCATTTAAAGTTACCCTTACGCCCCCATACCTCAACTTCGTTCGATGTTCCATTTATTTCATTAGTGTCCATCCTATTTGATCCCCCTTTTTCACAAATCGCTCAGTTAGAGCTTGAGCCTTATTGTTGGTGTTATCCTTGCATGACTGATGTCGCGTCCTCGGTGTTGCTCCGTTACTGTTGAAATTATACATTTTTGTGGTTGCTTCCTGTTGTGCGTGCGTCTTGGGATTAGCCTCTCTTTTTGTGCTGCGGGTGTCCCAAAAGCCATGCTTTCGCCATGTTTAAATACCGTTTAACAATTTCCCGTCGGCCAACATCCCTGTGCCTCTTGCTCAGGGCCAAATAGCAAATGAGCAAGAGCAAACTGGCAAAGCTCATCATTGTATCCGATTTCTCGCTAACGAATTGGATAAATTTCTTTTGTTATTTTACGAATTGATAAATACTCGAAACTCCTTGGGGAGATGCTGATTATCAGACAATTTGCACGCATTACATGTGCGAGTTCAGAGTTTATAACTTGGAATTAAAAAAAAATAATCAATATAGAAAGAATCAGAAGTTTCTAATACAGCGAAGGAAGTATATCCGACGTAATAAGGTGGTATATACATATGTACATACGTATATTCTTAATCAACAGACGAGTTGGTTTATAAACTGATACAATATATACAAATTTACATAACCCCGTTATATTTCGACATATTTTCATATGCCCTGAGACATAATCAGGGAATTCCTTACACGACTAAATGACTAGAAATATAGGCGATGTATCCGCGATATGTTCAGTCCATTGGGAACGACCGAAAAAAGTCCAATGTTAAATTTTAAGCTAAAATACAGTCACACAACATGCAGGGATTCCCTTGACGACTTACCGGCTTAATTACTGAAAATAGCGGCAAGGTA